GCGAACTTGCAAAAGCAGGAAAGAAATTGTCGGAAAAATTGAATATCTCAAGTCGTCCAATCTATTGTGCACCGCCAAAAAAATCAATATTTCACTCTAAAAATTTTCAAAGACACTGTATCTAACTGAATATTGTGTCAACATTATTTATCTACTTCCCCAGGAAACATATCAACAGCAGAATCAATAAAGTTTCGGCCTCTTTCAAAAACTAAGTTTATACCTACGTACTTTGTACTACGGTATAAAACACTTTTCGACACCGGAAAGAATATTGGTGGTGAAGAAGGTTTATTGTCCTGTCGTACGTATAAGGCGGCATCATTGAATATACATAACTGAGTAAGTGAATATGTGAGGTAAGACACGATGATACTCGCATTACATGGCACTGCACTGTCATAAGAGGTGAGATATGTGATGGTGAGACACTGAGATTCGTGAAGTAGTAAGAGGTAATGATGAGATTCTATTTACAGTATTGAGTATCGTTCAAGAACCCTGTAATGCATACAATGGATATGGCAAATTATGGCAAATTCAATAGCTGAATATTGGGCACGTCAGATTAAGTATGTTAGTAACGAATCGGCGAAAACTGAGGAATACACAGAATAAGAAGAGTGTGTCAAAAAACTTATTCCCATACATCGCGTTGATTAGGGTATATTCAGATTGACAGCCATCGGACGAATATAGGCCTGAAAAGCTTTGAGGGATCTCCATCTGCCCATCTGCATTACATGAGTACTGTCAAACCCCTGCTCTAAAGCTGCAGATGCGGCCCCACCCCGGAAACTATGCGTAGTATAGTTTTTATTACCCATACCCGCTATGAGGAATAGTTGCTGTAAACGCGAGTTAATGGTGGATATACTGAGGGGTAGGTTAGTTGATTTTGATGGAAATAGATGATTGTTACTGAATTGTGCAGCATATTTTATCTGCTTTTGTAAAACTGCATGCTCTTTCGAGTCTGGTGCTATCAAAAATGACGCGGTAGCTCCTCTATGTGTCTGGTCTGTTTTTGACTTGATGACGCTTATGGAATACGCACCCTCAGCGAAGGAGAGGTCAGCAATCTTCAATGCCACGG